TAATAATAATTGAGATGCAAATGTAAGGCAGACACTCTTGTGATTCTTATTTTGAGTGCTGAATTATAAATAATCTCAAAAATAATTGTTTTTATTCACTTGGAATATAGTGACAAAGAATTTTTAGCTTTAAGAAGAAAAAATCAATACATGTAGAATGTGGAGGGGAGAATATTAAAATGCTATGTCAATATTTTAAAGGGAGATTATATTTAAAAATAATCATGCTGTGCATTAATTTATGGGGAGATAAGAAACCAAATATTCACAACAGATTGTGATTCCTTGCACATTTACTTTCATCCATTTCAGTCCATCTGCTCTCCTATACACCTTTTCAAAATAAAATCCAGTTCTATGCTTATATTTCCACATTTTCTGGATAATGTTGCCAAAGTGCTCATGTAGCAGAAATTGTGATTATTGATATAGATTCTGGATTTTAAAACAAAATGAAGCAATGAAGCATCTTTAAATTAAGACCGTGGTTTCATTATACTGGGAAGCTATTGACATAGATGCTTACTTTTTTATTCATCTTCTTTTTTAGTTTCAATCCAGTCTTCAAACAAAAATCATTATACATCCTCAACAAGTGAAGCAGTTCCACCCCCTAGTTTGACACAGAATCAAGCATTTTCTCTTCCTCCTGGTCATGCAGTGTGCTGTTTCTTAGATGGTGGAGTTGGTCTCTATGATATGGGAGCCAAGAAGTGGGATTTTCTTAGGGACTTGGTATGTCTATGATCATTCCTTCTATTACACAAAACACTTAACTTTGCATAAATCTATCATGTTTACTTTTGCCTCTGTGTTGATATTCTTTAAAATTATTTTTGTAAGCAGTGATTTTTTAAGACTTTTTCTTAGTTGACTGAAACATTTGAAAATGCACAGAATAATGACAAAATTATTAAAATTATTTAAATGTTAATAAATAAACTTAAAAATATTAATGTCTGCTAACCATGTGTTTTATGTAGTGAAAAAATACAGAGCAGGAGCTTGAKATGTAGCTCAGTGGTAGAGTGTTTGCCTAGCATGAATGAGGCTCTAAGTTCTAGCCCCTGCAAAACAAGAGAAAAAAAAAAGCTAGAAGCAAAATAAGACATAGAATATTGCTTCAGGAGGAAAGAAATCAATCCCTGTCAGTTATTCCAAACCTTATTGTTTTCATTTCCTCTATGAATTGAGTAAAATTGGATTAGGCGTTTTATAAGACTTATTTCTATGAATGAATGATAATAACTCTTCTATAATTCTATGAATTCTGTTCTTATCATCATTAAGCCCTGATATAAGATGCAATACAGTCTCTTTGTGTTTTTACACTTTTGCATCCCCACTACCCAGTACAGTGCCTAGCACATAGTAAGACTTAAGTTTTGTTGACTGAATGAATGAAAACATGCAATAATGGATTTTATGTTGTAATTCATTCATCAAGAATCATCTTCCTTCATCTGCCTTCATTATAAAAATAATCCTGTTACCACAGGTTTGAAATAGATTAATCTAGACACTTAAGAAACTTTGTTGTTAATTACTTTCCTGTGATCTTACTTAGGAATGGACTCTAGACTTAAATTGAGCTTTTAATAAAAGAAGAACTAAATAAGATTGGATCATTTTAATACTGCTCCTTTCATTTTGTTCCCAAATTTAAAAATTAAATTAAAAAATTAAATTGAACTCTATCAAAAATATTTCTGAAACAATATGTAGCTTAGTTATTTTAAAATATTTCTTTTTTAGATGTTTATTTGAAAATGATTTAATTTTATTTTTACTTTAACTTTTTTTTAAACTCTTTCCCAGTTTGAAACTTTTTCTATACTTTAAATTACCATTTATTTTCAAACAAATTTATAACAGGGAAGAGAGAAAAATGTAACACCTTGAAATATATAAAATGTGCTTTAGTAGAAGAGAAATCATGCAATTGAATTTAATAAATTTTCTATTAAGTATATAGGTTTAAATGTTTCATATTTAAACATTTTATTTGAAAACCTATGTTAAATTTGAAAATTTAATTAATACTAAAAGTTTTTGTTTTATTCTAGTGGCTTTTCTCCTTTTAAAAATATCTTTCAGTCAAAAGAGGCTGTCATTTTTCTCCTTATAACATTCTTTTAACACTGCTACAAATTTGAAACTACTAGGAATATTACTAGAAGAAATATTTCCTCCAAAGATTCCAGTTTACATAATCCCATTATACATTATAAAAGAMTATTTCCATAATAATGTTTATCTGTTTAAATTCATAACTCACTTGAAACTAATGTTTRAAACATGATATGTCAAGAGCTCTGTAAGGTTTTGAACAACCAATAAAAAAAAATAAAATAAAATGCATCTCTTACAACTGCAAAAAAATAAAATAAAATAAATAAAACTACCAAAAAGAAAAAAGAAAAAAAAAAGCTATGTTTTCCTCTTTATCCTTACTTTCCTTTTGGTTAGAAGAATACAGAAAAAAATATTTCTATTTAATTTCTTCTAGGTGAATTTTCAGAATTTCAAAAATGGAATTTGAATGTGTAACATTAAAATAACATTTAAAAGTGCACATGTAGACAATTACTGCCTTAAGTATGTTCTTATCATGAGAAAAGGCCAGCTAGAACAACTCCAGCCAGGTGAACCAGTGGCTATAACAATTTCATTTCGTTTTTTTCTAACCTTTAGGATTTTTCTTTTCAACACCTTTACCTAAGTGAGAGACCTTATAGAACTTCTGCATTTTCCTAAGGGTTGTGATTTCTGGTGTTAATAGAAATACATGGAGTAGAAAGGATGTCCTTYTCTAACTTTACAACATTGTTGAGGAATAGAAAGCCTTGTCCTTGTATTTTAACTCCCTCCCTCCATCCCAACATATTGCAGTTCTGCTGCTTAAAGCAGGGATTTCAATTTCCATTTCCTAATATTTGGAGGAAGACAAAATATAAATCTGGCCATTTAATTTGGTTTTTAACAGATGTTGGATAGGCACATAGTGATTATTTGTCACTTTCCAGGTATATGTTTACATGTATCTGTTATATATACCACTTTAYACTCTCGTGGGTGTTTGGAATCTGAATCACCCTGTAACATTAACAATTATTCCAAATCCCAAAGAGTAGACTTTAGAAATTTTTAGAAAAAATTCCATTAAAAATTGGAGCCATGTCTGATTCTATATCTGCTGAAATTCAAAATGCTTTTGGGGTATGTCATTTGTATAAAAAAGGAATATTTTCATTAATGGGCTTATAGCTTCAACATCCTTGTTGTCTTATGTTATACTGCAAGAATTATATATAATAACTATTAAGARTTAATTACTTTAGGCTGGATAAAATGACATATGCCTATAATCCCAGAGACTTGAAAGGCTGAGGCAGGAGAATGGCAAGTTTGAGGCCAACCTCAGCAATTTAGCAAGGCCTAAGCAACTAGTTAGACCCTGTCTCAAAACAAAAAATAAAAAAGACTGAGGATGTGACTCAGAAGTTAACCCACTCCTGGATTAAATCTCTAGTACTGGGCAGAGGAGAAATGTCTAGCTTAGGATTCTGTACATTCAAAAATCAGAAGAATRTTTTGCATTTAATTAAAATTGAAAAATAAAACTTTTGAAAATCTTTGAATTTAGTTGCTGATTTGAAGAACTGTGGTTTAGTAAAATCCAGRTCTGTACAAAATCCAGGTTGAACATCCCTAACTGCAAAATCTGAAATCTGAAACTATTTTGAATGTTAATAAAATAATGCCTCAAGTGGAAAATCCCACAGTTGACAGGTCATCTGTGACTTGTAAGGTTACAGTAAAAAGTCACATGTGCTAGAAACATTCCATAAAATTATTTCAGCCTAAGCATATAAGGTGTTTATGAAACATAAATGAATTTCATACTTAGATTTGAATTGTATCCCAGAGATATCTCATTWTGTATATGAAACATTTCAAAATCTGAAATCTRTAATACTTCTGGTCCAAGCATTKTGGTTAAGGGATATGCAACCTGGAATAAAACACCACAAAGAACATTAAACCCTAGCAATGATTCCACTTTATATTTTTTGTTTGCCTATGTATATTTGCATTAATATCTGGAAACCATATTATATGTATCATATACTTTGAATTATACATTATGGGTTGTTTTTTAGTAATGTAGATTTTCCTCAGTAGTTGTGACTTTTTTATACTGCATTCTCAGGGACATGTGGAAACTATCTTTGACTGCAAATTTAAACCTGATGATCCGAATCTTTTAGCAACAGCTTCATTTGATGGTACTATAAAAGTTTGGGATATAAACACATTAACAGCAATGTATACTTCCCCSGGTAATGAAGGGGTTATTTATTCCCTTTCATGGGCTCCAGGTAAGAAACATTTTATTAAAATAGGAATGCAATTAAGTGACTTTCCTAAACTTTATTTTCATTTGAATTATCTTTTTTCAACTCCAGATGTCTTTTGTTCCAAATGCTCATAGAGGCAAATTAGTACCAATGTTTGGTTAGTTCAGTTCATGTTAGGTTTTAAAATGAATATTGGCAGAGACACTTTGATTCCTGAGCCCTTTAAAATTATATAGTCATGGCTGAGGATATAGCTCACTTGGTAGAGTGCTTGCTTCACATGCCTAAAGTCCCTGAGTTGAACCCCAGCACCACAAAAAAAAAAAAAAAAGAGTCATACAGAGAAAAGCCACAGTAAAACTGAATGAGCTTGACTTTTACAATTTTTGTATAGCTATGTGGTTAAAGATATGATGTTTTACATGAAAAAAAGATTTCCTGAAATTTTTATGTGAACCAAATTTGTGAAAATAAAAACTTTTTTTTTCTTTTTTGGTACTTGGTACTGAACTCTAGAGTACTTAACCTTTGAGCCACTTCCCCAGCCCTTTTTATTTCTTTGGAGATTGAGGTCTCACACTAAGTTACTTAGGGTCTTGCTAAGTTGCTGAGGCTCTTCTTGAATTTGCAATCCTCCTGCCTCAGCCTTTCAAGTTGTTGTGATTACAGGTATGCACCACCAWGCCTGGCTCAAAAATTTATTTTCTAAAAATTATAAAAGACTATTGCACCTGTCACATCAGTTTTGTAAGTATGGGTGATTATATATCAAGTAATAATTCAATTGTAACAACTTAATTCTATATAAATTATACTTTTGTAATTTTGAAGAATTTTTATGCCTTAATGTGATTTTTCTTTAATCTTAGAAAGATGCTACCTTATACCTTCTTATTTATTAAGATACTGAGGATTGAACACAGAGGTGCTTTACTACTGAGCCATATTCCCAGCCCTTTTATGAGACAGGGTCTCACTAAGTTGCTTAGGGCCTCCCTAACTTGATGAGGCTGGCCAAACTCAGCCTCCTGAGTCATTGGGATGTAGCTGGGCACAACCATGGCCATACCTTCCTATTTATAAAGGAGAAGTATCTTACATAATCTGACACTTCTCCAAAGACATTATTTTTCCATAAAAATTATGTTTTACCTTTAAATGGATTTTCACTTTATACAATATATATGCTCACTTATTTGTCATAATATATTAATTTAATTATAATGTATAACCAGGATATAGCTTACCCTTTTTAAAAAAACTTATTTCATTATATAAGGGGATTCTGTAACCTTGAATTTATGTGTCCCCAAGGTATTTAGATGTCTTCAAGGAATCTGAAAATCTCTTGAGATTTTATGAATAATTTTTAGTTTGTGTTTGTGTGTGTGCGTGCACACACGCTTGCCTATATCTATCAAAAAATGTAATAGTAATCAGATTTTCAGAGGTTCATGACACAAAAAAGGTTAAGGACTTTCTGTATTTCTCATATACAATGAGATGTCTAGAAAAAAATATTTTACTTATAATTCTTCATGATAGTTGGTGTTTGTCTCTTTATTAAATAGAGTATACCTAAGCTTGTGTTCTTAATCATTKCAGTACACAACTGTGTGGCAGGTTCTCCTGGCCAGCAGTATGCAACTGGACCAGCCTATCAGCTGAACATACAAAATGTATATGTCTCAAACTTAAAACTTAAATAAAGATTTTGAATATGAGAACCATTGTTTCAAGTTATAACACAGACCTGCTCTTACCGAAAGCAGTCTTTCATTCTCTACATTGATAATTTGCATCAAGAAAGTAAAAAAATGTTAAAAATGGAAATTCTGTCATGTTTTACTGTGTGATTAGTTATGAATCATGGTTTTTAGGTAARTGTGGATGAAATTTAAAAGATGAATGTTGACAGGAATGGAAATAGGATATTGATTATTACATAATTTCTTCCAAATTCTAGAATATATACYCCAAGAAAAGAAAAAAARTTGTAAAAAAGTTTGGAAGTGATTTGAGAACCCAAAGGGAGCAATAGAATAAAAATACTATAAATATGATGACTTTTAGTATTCATGATAATTTATCACAGGGTATTCCTGCATGTTCATACTTCCAGCTAGTAGATGACAGCTGTTCCTTCCTTCTAGTGGGAAGAAACCTCTACTTTCATTGTCTTGCAAAAAATACTTAGGTCCTTGACCATCTGCTAACTTAATAGTAGTTTTATTTTCACAGATATATTTTATTTCTTAAAAATAGAAGGTATTGTTTATGCTTTTGAAAAATATTTTTTCATGTGATTTGTTTACAAAAGTATTCTCCTCATTACTAAAATATTATTAAAGAAGAATGAATAGTCATTAAATATATGATAATATTGAGGAACTATTGATAATTTTTGTGGTTTAATTATGTTAGTTTGTTATTGATAATAAAACCATCCATGTCTTTTAGATATATTTATTTATTAACCAAATAATATGATATCAGATATGTTCCAAAGATGTCCAGTAAAGGATAGATGAAACAGGATTGACTATATTTTGATAATTGTTGAAGTTATATAGTGGATACATTCATTGTATTCTCCTCTCCAGATCTGATGCATTGATAAATATATGCAATTATAAATTACAAATCTCAAGTTTTACATTAAAAAATTACATATTTGAAAGGACTTACATTTGTGGCACATATTTAATATATAATGTCTAATGTATTATTTCCTAAGGAGGCTTGAATTGTATTGCTGGGGCAACTTCCCAAAATGGTGCTTTTATCTGGGATGTTCAAAAGGGCAAAATGATACAGCGATTTAATGAGGTAAGCTATGTCTACCACTACTAAATAGCATGGTATCTTATACTACCTATTTTGTAAATGTTTTCTTTCTTAATCAACAGATGATAGCCTGGTGGCATATTATTCTGTCAATTAGAGGAATATGCAAGGAAGTATTCACATGCTAAAATTCATTGTGAGAATTATAGCTAAGACATAAAAATTCACCTGAAGTCTCATTACAGATTCAAAAGACTGTTAAGTCATCCTCCACTAAAGCTAGACAAATATTAAATAATGAGAGGAAAACTAAACTCAGAAGTCCCAAATTATAGTCCTGGTTCTGTTTTATTGTCTTGAATCTGTTTTTCACCTATAAAATTATAAAGTTTTATTCCATAATTTCTTTAATTTCCTCAGTCCTAAATTCTGTTATTGCATGACATGCTCTAAAACTGGCCCTTTTCCTGTATGTAATGCCACAGATTGTATTTATCCTTAGGCTTAAATTATCATTCTGTGTTTTACTGAGTTCCATTAATACTTGAAAAATTTATATGATCTCATTGTAATGTTGTGTATGATTGGGACAACAGGAATAGGATCTAGCATTGTCTCAATATCTTGAAATTTAATTTATTTTAAACAATTTCTGTTGAAACTTATTAAATATATAATGCCTTGGGAAATTATTTATTTATTTGAAACTTTAAAACCATTTATACAAAAGACTGTTAATACCATTAAGGATGGCATTTCATAGCCTTGATCTCCCAGAGGATTCTATAGTAATGTAGCAAATGCATTTATGAGAAACTTTTCTAACCACCAGTAAGCAATTTTGTACTTAAACAAAGAAACTTTCATAAAGATGACATGGATTATAACCTTCCCTTTCTCTAAATATAATGAAATAATATTCTTTCGGCTCAGCAATGCCCCAACCTGTTCCCATCACCAGAACAATCTATCCCATAACAAATAATGAGATAAAAGAAACGAGCAGGAAGATGAAAGTTTTGATCAAGATTTTAAAATGGTATCCTTRCTTAGCAGATTTGTTGATTTCTTCTTATTGCATCTTTTCACCTTTTGACCTATAATATCTACCCATTARCACTTAAGAAGTTCCAATTGATTCTAACAACTCAGTCTCATAGTATCAAGCACATTTCTTAGGTTCATTCAGTATTTCCCCAGCACTCGATCACAGTTAAGACCAACATCAAAATTACCTCAAGCCCATGTTATAAATATGAGGAAATTTAAAGCTAGCTTTAATTAACTAAGCTATGTGAGTCCCCGCAAAAGAAATGCAAGGAATTAGACAGCCATAAATGCCCTTTTCATGGAAAAGAAAAATGAAGGCCTCTCTACCCCTCAAACTAAATAAATATGTGGATTATATTTTTCATGTYCACTTGTACAAATTTACCTTTCTTGATGCCCAAAGAGGTAAAGACAAACTGGACACTACCTTAAGAAGTGGAATCTGTATATTTTTAAAGCAACTTGAAAATGCAAAATAAAAAGCCACTTTAGCCAGGTGCATTGGTGCTCACCTATAATCCCTGTAGCTCAGGAGGCTGAAGAAGGAGGATCTCAAGTTCAAAGCCAGCTCAGAAACTTAGGACGTAAGCAACTCAGTGAGATCCTGTCTCTTACAAAAAAAAAAAAAAAAAAATTGGCTGGGGATGCAGCTCAGTGGTTACATGCCCCTGGGTTCACTCCCCTGTACTAAAAAAATAAAAATAAAAAAAAGCCACTTGAGTTTTTCCCTTAATGGCTGTCACAATTTAAATCCTACTTACATACAAATAAAATAGAAATATTTTAAATTTATATTTAGAAATGGACCGATTRTAATCTTTACTTATTCATTCATCACACAGTAGTGGATGGCATTCCTATGTATATTTGTGTTTTAAAATTCTCATCACACCCCTAGACTATTGCGTTGTCCCAGAATGCAGAGGAACAAGTAAACAGACTGATTTATTATAGGAATAACTTTAAGTCTCCTTTTGTAATTAGAAGTCCTTTTGGGACTTAGAAGGATGACCCAGTAATAACAGTTATTTGCAATATTTCTTATACTATAATTGTARTAGCCTGTTTTTGAAAGCAGATACATATATATCTTCATCTACAGACTGGCATTCATATGAAAAGACATTAAGCACAGCTTAGTTCTGTGGATAACTGAAGAAGCAGATTTTGACTCTTCAGCTGTATTCAAAAAAAAAAAATAGAGCCACCCAATATGTGCCTTAAACACTGGATTTGTTTAAGTGTGACACCTGTACACATTTAAAGTATATATTCAGGTTTCTGATATTTACAAGAATGTCTTTTAGAGTAAGTTCCTAATAGAAAAGCAATACTTAGAAGAAGTAAATAAATAAGAGAAAAAAGRGGTGAATTATTTCTTATTGATAGGAATTTTGCATTTTTTGAAGCATGGAAAAAATGGAATATTCTGCATTGCCTGGAGTCACAAAGATTCCAAAAGAATAGCAACCTGCAGTGGTGATGGGTTCTGGTAAGTACTGTGTATGATATTATGAAATTATCCTATTTATGAAAGACCCAGTTTATCATTCCAATTGTGTATCAATGAGATCTTATTTGTATAGCTATACCAACTATCATAAATATTATTTACAGGTCAGTATAGGCACCTACTATATTGCTGTGATTTATCATTAACAAATAACAATCTAATGGTATTTTAAAAATGAACCAATCATTTGCGTGCTAAATGAAGAYATTACATGAATTACAGCTAAAAGACTGAATTGCCTCAAGGAAACTTGAAGGACTCATCACATTTTTGGGGAAACTTTTGATCATTTGAGGGAAGTAGTTCAGGAGACATCAAGTGCTCTAGAAATTTGTTCACAGTTTTGTAGATTTATTATTTATAAAAGTTTAAAACATTTTTGTCAGGAGGAAAATGGTGATGCAAGTGAGAAGTTCATTTTTTTTTAAAGGAGCTAACTTCATTGATTCTGTTTTTCAGAAATATGTTCTTTCTTAATTCTGTTAAACCCCAGGAAAAAATTAATTTTTATGTAAAAAAATACAAAACTACATAAGAATTGCCGTGGTATTAAAACTTTTTTAAAAAAAATCATATTATGCTACCTTTGGCTATTAGCATAGTAATCTTTGACAGATATAGACACTCAGGGTTGCTAAGAAGATAGAAGTTTGTCTTGTTGGATTTTTCTAGACTTAATCCAACTTTCCTATCCTCAGTTTTGAATTTTCATAGAAAATACAAAAGCTGTGTAAACAAAGGATTCTTTACCAAGAAGTTAAAATTCTTAGAATTAATAACATTAGTTGATGGTTTTCATTAAAGGAACTATTTACAAATTGGAAGATACTAAACTGCAAAAGATACACATGAGAATTTTTGACTAAGCAATACATAGTTAAGTTTGTCATGTATTTTCAAGGCATTCGTTATTTGATAAATGACATATTCARTAACTAAATATTTCTAAGTCTTATTCACCTGACTCACCAGGAACCCCYAAAGTTTTGGGGGACCTAATGTCATTTAAGAGTGTCTTTTCCCTTTGGAACTTATAATACATTAATTTACACACAGCTTTTCCCCCCAATGGAATTGATATTCCTTGCATTGTGACAATAATAGAATAGGGTACTAGAGCTTTTTAAAATAATTAAATAATGTAGACTCCTTTACAGGAGCTGAGAATTGGGGGTGTTCTCTGAATAKCTCATTATATAACTGAGAATATGCTATCAAAATGTTATAACTTATAGGTCTTAGTGTAATGGTGTATACAACCATCTTTATAAATGAATACTATAAATCTCAAACCACCTAATTATGAAGCTAAAAGTCTAATGCTCATGTTRGTTGCATCATTATATATTAAAATGTATTGTTATATTTTTCCTCAACTAAAAAATAATTCCCCAAACAAATTTGTCACACAATTAATATTACCATGATTAATATTATCTGTGCAGATGTATTTGTAACTGACAATATTATTTATGTAGTACTTTTAAATGTTTCTTTTAATTTGCAAAAACACTTCTATCCTAGAATTCCATCTTTGAAACTTACAATTTTGAMTTTGTTCCCTCAAATAATGTATTTAGAATGTCCTTTTCCTATTAACATGTGATAATGAATTTCAGTATTATCCGAACAATTGATGGTAAAGTACTACACAAATACAAACATCCAGCTCCAGTGTTTGGTTGTGATTGGAGCCAAAACAACAAGTAAGTGTTTTTTTCCTGAAATAAGTAATAATCTTATATCACAGATTTTAAATTACCATGAAATTTAGTTTTATTTCCATAGATAATACTCRTCTCTCTTTTTTGATATTTCCCTGCCTAGAAAATGAGAAAGAGCTTTGTAATTGCTAATTTATTTTAGCTGTTTTTATTTCATAAAGTTTTTACGTGGAAATTCTGATTTACTGCTCTCAAGACAACTTTCTTATACTTTGGAAAAAAGCATACTTCTRAATAAGAAAATGGAAATAAGTCCACTCTGTGTGTGGCTTCTACCATAGAAATGTGGTCCTTTCTCTAATTTCTTTTAGGTGTCTGCAATGGTATTGTTCCATCTTGGCTTTATATTGGTCTTCACCTCAGGTTAATGGCTCTGCATTGAGTAATTTCCCAAGATGCAGAACTTAAGTGGATRGGTTTTTTATTGTTGTTGTTGKTGGTGGTGATGGTACTAGGGATTGAACCCAGGACCTTGTGCATGTGAGGCAARCACTCTACCAACAGAGCTATGTCCCCAGCCTCCCAAGTGGATAGTTTTGAAAAGGCACCATTGCTTAAGAGCTRAGTATATATTATGTAAAAATAATCTAAGACTTAAATTAAATCCAAGTAAAATTTTACTAAAACTAGACCCTTAACTCACTTCACTTCAAGAATTTTGTGTTTCAAACCACTCTTTGATATGATATGGATTATATTTTAAAATCCAAACATTTGACATTTGTCAAACATCATGAATTATCTTATTTTTTTCATACTACATGTGGGTAATATATAGATAAATAAGAGCCAGATGCAGTGATGCACACCTGTAATCCCAGAAGTTAGGGARGCTGAGGCAGGAGGATTGCAAGTTCAAAGCCAGGCACAGCAATTTAGCAAGGCCCTACACAACTCAGGGAGACCTTATCTCAAAATAAAAAGGGCTGGCTGGGGATGTGGCTCAGGGGTTAAGTGCCCCTGGGTTCAATCCCTGGCACAAAAAACTTAAAGCTTTATTATTATTGTGTTCTGAATCAAATMATGGTATGATACAAAACAATTGCCATGTGTATTTGTTCCAGTAAATATTGAGGRATTTGTTAGCACCTTGTTAGGTTATACACAAAATAGGCTGGTGACCAGCACATTCCCCACTGAGCCAGAATTCTTGCCTCTTTCTACCTTATAACTTCTCAGTTTCTAGAAGCCATCAATGCCTGTCATACTCTTTCCAAACATCCCCCTGCCACTAAACCRATGATATTTATTTGCATTTTCCTTGCTTTTGGATGCCCTCAAAAGTCTTCTRAATCAATTCCAGAATTTACATTTTTGTTACCCCTTCTCCCCACCCACCTCTGTTTGCTGATATAACAGCCATTTAAAATATAGATCTAAGAATCCATTCTACTATTTAAATCCTTCAATAGTTTCCCAATAATTACAGGATAAAATACAAACACTTAGGCCCTATGAGGAACCACTATAAATTGGGGTTGGTGTACTTCATTAATCTCTTTCCAAGCCTTGCTCCCCCTTCTCCCTGCATCTACTCACATTAGCTTTCAGTTCTTTGTATTGTCCAGCTGATTTTCAGCTSAAGGCTTTCACTCAAGCTGTGCCTGTTAGCTAGGATTCTACTTCCCACCACATTCTACATACCACACACCCCACCTGGGCTGGACAAAGAACTGTCACCTATCCTTCAGCTCTGAGCTCAAAAACTTTTTACAAAAAAGTCTTCCYTGACCTCAATATTGTGCCTTTGGATTACTTATTATAATAAAATTGGATTTTGAATTGTGTGATTGTTTGCATATTAACTATCTCATATTCTATAATGTAAGTTCCGTGAGATAACTATGTTGTCTATGTTTAGCAGAATATCATTATCAAAACACTGGGTTGCAAAACTTTATTGTCCTTTGAAGAGATAATGTTCAATAAATATTTGTTAAATATGAATAGAATTGCATTATATCTGAAAAATAAAATAGTTCARTAGAATAGTTCCACATTCTTATTTGTCTCTTTTAAGCATTTGGGAAGTTGGAATAAAAATTAGATTTTCATGTAATATAATTAGTTGTTTAAGAAACACTGAGAAAGGAATTATTTTGCTATACTGGGACAGTTGCTGCAAATGAGCAGTTAGCATAATTATATATGATGTTTTTTTATATGTAAGGTTTTAGTCTTCACTAAAGAAGCAAACAATGATTTCTTTAGAAATTAGAACTGTTGTACATTTTTTAAATAATTAGTAGAGAATAATATCAAAGTTATCATATTTTAATGTTCCATGAATGACATTTCAGAGACATGATTGCCACTGGCTGTGAAGACAAAAATGTGCGTGTCTATTATGTAGCCACGAGCTCAGATCAACCATTGAAAGTCTTTAGTGGACATACAGCAAAAGTTTTTCATGTTAAATGGTCTCCCCTGAGAGAAGGAATTCTTTGCAGTGGATCTGATGATGGGTATGTATTTTTGGATTCTAATTTTCTAGTACTTAAAATCATAAACATATTTCCCAGAGATGCACATATTTATATGATCAAATTATATGTGGGTATACTTTAAATTTGTGCTTAAAAAGCAGGCAGCTAACAACTAAAACTAAATTCAGTAAAAAATGTTAAATTCTTCCGTGCTTATGGTATCATTATAGTCATAGCTTTTATTTTCTTGTATATATTGCCTATTATGAATGATTATTTCTAGCATACTGGCAAGAAAATTAACAGAAACAAATTTTAAAAAAATACATAGGGAAAGGGAAGATCTGAAAAAAACTATAAAATATGAAGAGTTTTTAATAATGTTCTTATGTTTCATATGAAAACCAGCTATATTGTTTCATCAAGAATAGAATAAAAATTGATCATAAATTTTAGCATGAAAAGAACATTTTAGAAATGAGATRGACTTAAGATTTTTCTCTATTGGTGGCAGTTTCTAACATTTTGTCCATATTTTATATTCAAAAAAGATACATTTATACAGAATGGTATGTTTAATAATTACTTGAAGATGGGATAAATTTGGGTAAGAAAAAATCTTGCTTTTTATCAGTACAAGTCAGAGTGCATAGTATCCATGGGYTTAAAATTAAATAATTAAGCATTTTCATCTTAAATTTTTGGCATAAATTCAAATTTAATAGAAGAAACAATTATGAGGTTTTGTGGTTTATTACTTAAAATAYTATTTCAAATATGGTTAYTATGTAAAAGTGAATATTATTTATGAAATTATTCCAGTCTCTCAACTTAGACTTCAATGTCTAAATTCTGTTCCATATGGAAAAAGGCATAATCTTAATTATTATCTAAGGATTATTTTCAGAAAGACAGCAGTAAGCATTTTACTTATTTATGGTAGTGAAAATTGAAAGGCTTTATTAAGATTATTCTATYAGTAGTCACTGTTTATATATATAATTGTTATTCCTCACTAAATTTATCTAGCACTTTTAAATAAAGGTAAAAATGTAAGGAAACTATTAATTACTAATGTATTCAGCATAGCTCACAAATACTATACCTCATCCTGGGAATCCTAGACAATTCTCATGTATAGTGGGACATATAAAAATCTTTCTAATGTTCATTCAGAAAACATATATGACTTCAAAACCTAACTGACTCCTTTCATGAAAGGAAGGACCCCATTCTAGTGAGTCCCCAAAAATAGCATTTGATAATTTTGATGGAAATCATTTTAACATATTCTTATCTATGAAAGCATGATAGTAAACTGTAAATATTTAAATGTTAACATATATAGGAAACTAGCCCTAAAACTTGTAGGTTATAATATGTTCAGATATACATTCATCCCTGAGTATTCATAGGAGATTGTTTCAGGATACCACATGCACACCAAACTCTGAATATTGAAGTCCCTCATAATCTATGGACATGTTCCAATTATACTTTAAGTCATGTATGGATTGCTTACAATATTCAATATACTATAAATATTATGTAAATAGTTGTTGGACTGTATTGTTTAGGGAATAATGACAATTAAAAGTCTGTWCATGTTCCATACAAATGCAGTTTTAAAAAATATTTTCTCTCCATACTTGATTGAATCTGTGGATGTAGAACCCATGGATTTGGAGAACTGATTTTATTATCTTGTACTAGGAAAATGGGAGAATGAAGGGAGCCTTTTTATATAAAGTACAAAGATATGCTTTAAAGAATACATATTGTATCTCCCTTATAGTGCAATATAATCTTTGACATACCAATGTTTTGATATTGTCAGGTTGGTATAAGTTTTCAACTAAAAACTTATTAGCATTTGGAGGTCTTAAATTGATTTTGAATTCAAACTTTGATTTCAGTAATGTTGTTTGTGGTCTGTGCAATTAGTAGATCCAAGTAATATCATGAACCTACTTATATTTAAATTTTTACTTGTCTGAGATTGACTCCACATTGACCAAGAAAGTTATTTTACTGACCCTAAGCCATAAAGGAATGATTTACTACATAGGTAAAAGCATAAATTTATAATGATTTTTCAGATAATATCCATCATCCTATATGTATTTTTATGATATGCAAATAATTTTCATGTTGTATTTCTGTTATCAGTCATAGTTTATTTTCAGTTATATCTGTTCYGGATATTTCATTTTAAGAGAGCAACTTTTTCATATATAAATTTTAAAGCAGTATATTTGATATTTATTGCTTTAAAATGACCAGTAAATATCAAAAAATTAAAAAATGTTGGAATAAGATAACTCTGGCACAGTTAAATGTTCATTTTTTCCTCTACTATAACAAAGAGAATTGATTATATCTTGATCTATAAAATGCATTTTAAATCTGCTAATAATCATTATGATTCATTAAGAATGTTAATACTTTGGATAAATTATAATTTGAATTATATRCACAATATTCTATTTTCAGTTCTGTTCGAATCTGGGATTATACTCAAGATGCTTGCATAAATATTCTTAGTGGACACACTGCACCRGTGAGGGGATTAATGTGGAATACTGAGATTCCATATCTACTAATATCTGGCAGCTGGGACTATACTATAAAAGTGTGGGACACTCGGGAAGGAACTTGCTTGGATACTGTATATGATCATGGTGCAGATGTGTACGGTAAAGAGTTTTTCATGTATTTGTTATTTTGATATATTAATGATGCTTATAATTTATGATTAGTATGCTATTTTTAAAGAAGTRTTACAGCATTTCATTTTGGAAAAAATTCTCATTAGAAAATGTTTTTATTGAAATATTAGAATATATAAAAGAAAACTGAAGAAATTGTCAGAAATTATCAGAAGATGACTATTGTTAGCACTGTTTTTCTCTGTCTGCAGCTGTATGTTTCTGTGTACACACACATATGCACACACAATACATACATATACCCATGCACATATGTGAATATCTGGGCCAAATTTTCCCTCTTCCCTTCCCATCATTTCAGAGTTAAGTTGCAGAAAAGGAAATTAATAGTAGAATAGATAAAACTCACTTAGCCATTCCTCTATCTGGGGACACTAAGGGAAATTTTTAAAACATATAACACCAAGTTTTTTAGTACAATTGAGCTAAGTATAGAAAATCAAATTACTTATCTTTTGCATATCATTTTACTCTCTGTTGTATTARTTAAGGAAAGAAATTCCTTAGAAAAAGTATCCCAAATCCGGTTATTCAGATCTATATGCTTTACCTCAGTGGCCTTTTAGCTGAGGCAATGTGGGACTGCATGTAGGGGAGAATCCTATTTTTGATATTCTCAATTGAGATGTCTTCAATTCTGTTTGCATCTTGTTAACTAGAACTTTAATCTATCCTTCTATTAATTCATAGATACCATATGCCCTGTTGGTATTACTGTATACTTGCTGCTTATCCAAATGAAATATAATTTCAGCATTTTCACACAGGACTATTTGTTTTCTAATAATTATTTAATTTYATATTCATATTATAGAATATACTAATAAYTTATTTAGTCTTCTATTATTGTCAGCCATATTAATTAAAAACAAGTTGAAGTTTSATTCTGATAATCTTTCAGTTATTCACCTTCTTCATGACTTCTATTCTGCAGATATTTTAAGAATCAACTATAAATAAGATTTGTTTCCATGTTTACTTTAGTTAAAACAGGTTTATATTTTTCCATCAGGTTTAACATGCCATCCAAGTCGCCCCTTCACTATGGCTTCTTGCTCCCGTGATTCTACAGTGAGACTCTGGTCATTAACACCTTTAATCACTCCTTTACAAATAAATATTCTGGCAGACAGATCTTGGGAAGAAATTATCGGGAATACTGGTATTGAAAATATGCATGCATTTGATTTTATTTTTAAATAAATTTTTATTTTCAGATAATRTTTTATAGGAAAATTTTTTTCTCTCTTCTTCAGATTGTGTCATAGAACAAGGCGCTCCTCCTCTGTTGTGTGGTAAAGTGTCAAGAGATATTAAACAGGAAATAGAAAAACTGGCTGGTAATCCTCGAGTGAAAAAATTAAGATGGTTTTCAGAATGTTTATCAGTAAGTATTATAGGAATTAAGTGTGATCCTTTAGACAAAATGAATCACTGTGGCTATTGCCAGTAAGTTGTCACATATTTAAATTCATCATCCTACTTCAGTGGATCCCTTTTAATAAAATCTCTACATTATAAGAAAGCAAATATGAAATCAGAAATAAGTGAGATAGTATGTACTTATTATTTGRCTAATTTTCAGTATAGATAATCTGAATTACAGTATTTTTGAAGATGCAAAATGCTGAAAGGATTTTTSTTCACCTTTTTATCTTTGGTTATTCTATATCAACATTTTAGCCTCCAGGTGGCAGTGACAATTTATGGAACTTGGTGGCTGTGATAAAAGGGCAAGATGATAGTTTACTTCCTCAGAGCTACTGCAAAGGAATAATGCATTTGAAACACCTGATTAAATTTAGAACAGTAAGTAAAGTATGCAAATATAATATATTCAAGCAACTTTTCCCTTTTCACTATTAATGTAGGAAAATTACATTAATATACATAATGTAATTAATCACATTATGTATTATATGAGCATCTAATTAATCAGGTTAATAATTATTATATTATRTGTTATATGATTACTTTAATCATAGAAATTATATTCATATTTATATGATTAGATTGGTAAACTAAAATAAATGAACACTGAGGAGATAAATCTTTTGTAAAACCAATCGTGAGAGCATGAATTATTTGAGAACAGATTAAGGTACCCATATTTTCATAGGTTGAATCTCATGACATTTTTTAAGGTCACTTGAAATTCCTTGAAATGCCTTATCTTTCTGCAATTACAAGATTATTGTGACACAATAATAATAATAAGTACTATGATTTTTAGCCTCAGAKGATCTAAGAGACTATATGCCAAGGTATATTTTATTAAAACTGATCATGTTGGAGCTTTTAATGAATTTTAGTAGTATTATTAACTAGCTCAAAACTAGGGCAATATGTAAGAAAGTATCAATAACAAAATCTATACAGGGTCAGGAAAAAAGAGATATATTATTTTTAATGAAATATCAGCAATTAACTATTAGAACATGGAGAAAATCATGTTAGGAAGGTGAAAGAATTATTTTCATAAAGAGGAAGCRCTTTCTTCAATCACAAACTAAACACCTAAAGACTATAGCTGAAAAATCTATTGACATTACAGGGGTCAAAGACTGCCAGTGATTATTTTGTTTTCATTCAAGATTTTTGAATTTTTATTTAAGATCTTTATCAGTAGTATGTCAATTTAGACTCYCCTTGACCCCCACTCTTTCACTTACCCACAATACCTGGAGAGTGTTAACAGGATGCAACTCTTCTCCCAYACCACACTCCCATGCACATGCCAAAATATTATGTTTTTAAAAGTATCATATTTCATTGAAAAACATTATTTTTAATATTTAATTTCCAATGCTATGTGCTTTTAAAATGCCTGGCTCTTATATAACAAAATTTTAAAATATTTATTTTCTTTTAATCAGTCTGAAGCCCAAGAACTAACAACAGTCAAGATGTCTAAATTTGGTGGTGGTATTGGTGTACCTACTAAAGAGGAAAGACTGAAGGAAGCTGCTGAAATACACTTGAGATTAGGACAAATTCAGAGATACTGTGAACTTATGGTTGAACTTGGAGAGGTAATATGCCATTAAAGCAAAATTATTGAGTTTAACATAGTACTCTAAGTATTAAGAATACAATTAATACTAAGTGTTCAAATATGAAGCTAGTTTTTTTCAGATCCAACTGATTTCCTGGCAGTCTGATATCAGCTATATATCCTAGGACAGTAATTAACAAAGTGAGTTCTCCAGGCTAGCAGCATTTACATCACTTGGTAGCATGCATGTCCTACTAAATTAGGTATCTCTTAAGAAGCTTAATAATTTATTGTTATACAGATTCACTGATGGACTTAAGATTCATAGAACTGTTTAAAGTTTTTTTTAGAAATATGGATGAGCTTATAACTGTTTATAATCACCTCCTCAAGAAATCGTGAACTCAGGGGATAGAGCCCAATAATATGATTTAATAAGCCCTCCTGGTTGTTTTTATGCATGCTAAATTTTCAGAACCACTGCCATGAAACCCCAATTGGCTAATTTGCATGCAGTAAAATCCTCCTTCTAATAAACTCTGTCGTGACTAAATTCCACACTGACAAGAAGAGGGGTTTTCATTGAGGATCCTCTAGTGAAGAGTACTTAGAAAGCATATCATGGTTTTTATAGAGGACTATTTCAATAGAATAMATTTTTCAAAAAATGTTTGAATGAATCTATACTATTAAAATTCAGGACAATGGTTRCCTTTAGTAGGTGGGTAGTGATTAGAATGGAACACAGGCTGGAGTGCTTGTTTCTTTGATCCTGGGTACAAGTTGTATGGTAGRTATACTTTGTAAAAATTCATTGATCTTTTCCCTTTTCTGTAAATATATTTTAGCTCAACAAAAATTCTCCACCTACCTACTCTGCTAAAACAAATGTTGGAATGGCRTGGACCCAATTATCACTTTCACAACCTCTAAGTTAGTTAATTTTGTAATTATAAGGTGTGATTTGAAGAATACTTGGAAATAATATGAAGTAAAACTAAACAATKCAGTTACATTAAAATRTATCAAAATCAAATTTAACTYACCTTTTTACTTTCCCACATATTTAGAGGCMATGAATTACTACTTGAAATAATAAAATATATCATTTAATATATTCAATAATATTTTYAATATTATTGAAAAGGCATTACACATTTAATGTGTTTAATAATTTAGAGTAATGTAAAAATTTTATTATCACATAAAAAAGTAACTTTTGAATCAAATCTTTAATAGCACATTACTAAGAAGAAAAATCTATCAAAAGGAGAAAAGGAATGAATGAGTTTTGGTAGAACAGTATAATTCTTTACTTTTCCAAGTTGTGTGTGTGTGTGTGTGTGTGTGTGTATAATTTTACACTATCTTAACTCAAAAACTTTCTAAATTAGGTATCTCTTAAGAAGCTTAATAATTTATTGTTATACAGATTCACTGATGGACTTAAGATTCATAGAACTGTTTAAAGTTTTTTTTA